ATGTTTGTGGTTGCTTGAGAGTGTGCAATTCCCCTAATGTAAAGGTCCACTTGACAATAACTTTTTGTTGTTAGTACATAGAAAACTTTACTGAAGATGTGAAACAGATCTTTGTGTTCCTGTTTTGTGTTTTTTTTGTCTTCAGCAATTATTTCCCTGTAAATCTGATGTGCTTGAACAGAAGAAAAGAATGTGCAAATCCATAAATAATGTATAAGATTTGAAGAAACTCGGCGTTGAATTGAAGCAATGTCTGATCATGAGACTGTTAAGGAAAAAGCTAAACTGCTTTTTAAAAAATATATGAGATGGAAGATGAATGGTGAACATCAATAGATATTCTTAGTCACTGCAGATTTGTGTATACATATTTTAGCAATGGTGTTCGTGTTGTAAACTATGAGTAATAATATGAATGACAATGTGTGTAGAAACGTGCAAATATGCACAAACTACTGTATGTTCTCAATGATTATACTTTTGGAGTTATATGGACTTATAAGTTAAATACGAGCCAGTTGATGTTAAGGACAATAGGAAGGTGAAGGGTTATGATTACATAAGTTTAACAAATATATTTTTATATGTCATTAATTTTACATGTTTGCATGTGTTAAATTTGAATTGTTTTACTTGATTGTCTGAAGAAAATGTTCCATTGTTGGTAGTAAATGGTGATCCTGCTTTAGATGTCTTTCTGAGTCTTCAGTAAAAACCTGGATAAGTCCTTGATAAATTTATGGTTGATTTAAGCACTAGCTACTCCAATCATCACATTTTTGACTCCTGCGGTGCTTGATTTGTGCTCCAGAGCCTTGTGAATTGACAATAACCACCAAACTTTTTAGATGTCAATAGCAGTTTCTCACCTGCTTTTGAAGTTTTGCAGATTAAGGCCCAAACTGTGCCTTTTTTATATATAATAGCCTACTTTATGTGATCAGACAGGTACTATCTAATGTATCGATTCCTCATATCTGACTGTTATTAGATTTGGGAGTAACTAGGTATAAAATTCAGGCCAAATTTAGAGGACCTTTTCATTTCCGATTTGTATTTTCTAGTAATCTTTGTTATCTCTATAGTAAAAAAAAATCAGTCTGATTTGAAAAAAAATAAAGTTCAACAGTAGAACCCAGTAAGACACACTAAAAGACTAAAAAATGTAGATTGTTTTACTTTATTGTCAGTAACGCACTCACAGTAGATCCGTGTTGCCTGGTAGCTGAAGGTTTTTTGGCCACTCTGACCAAATATGAATGAACTCCAAAAACCCTTCAACAGTTTCTCTCAGTCGACCCTCTTCAGCTCCTCTGTCGCCTCCTTTAGTCTGCTTTTTCTGTCCAACTCGATCCTCTCTGCGTTACATAAACACTTGAAAAATGTATAAATAATTCTAGCAGTGGGTTGTGGGAAGGGGGTGGGGGGGGTTTGCCGTGAAACCATTAAGCTTCACTTAAAACAGCTATTAAGAGTGCATCTGAGGAAATGAGGCATGAAAGTCTAAGAGGTTGAAATTAAAAGAGGCCCTCAAGACATTACTTTTGCATAACAGTTTAACAAAATGGCTGAAGAGAATCTAGAATCAAGAGATCTATAATTGAAGAAGGGCTGCTGTCCTATACTGAATTCTTGCCATCTTTTTTTGGTTAACCCCTTTAGTGAGGGAGGGTAAATGTGGATCTGACTCAGAGTATTGAGTTTCTAAAAAAGTCTAACATCCACTTACTACTTTGATTCTTCATATCTTACCCCACTTACCCAACTAAGCTTGGGTTAAAATGTTAAACATACAATTTCCTGAAATATGTACAATCTTACAAGTGCACTAGCAATTAGCATTTGACCCCGACAGCAAAAACTAAAGTAAAAACTCAACTCAATCCGCAGCTGCCATAATGGTGTAGTGCTGAATTACAGTCATCCATCTATGCTAATTTAAGCAACACTAATCTACCTTCCCACGATTTTTAGGCACTAGTAGCTCTTTCTCCCAATTGACAGACAGGATATGAGCAGAGAACTTAAGGCCAATTTATACTTCTGACGCATAGCCTCTGCAACCGTCAAATCTGCGTTATCAAACCCCCCACACAGAGGCTCTGCAACCGTTGTCGTGCAAAATCCCGACTGCACGTCGGACAGTCGCAAACCCGCGCAGACCTCAAGCGGAAGTGCACAGACAAAAAGCAGCTATGATTGGTCCTTGGTATGCCTTTCCGGCTCTCTGTGTGTTCGTCCTTCTCGATTCGGTGCCGGGGCGCACCATTTTTAGAAAACCGAGCAGTAATAACAATGGATAACCACGACAAAAGGTTGATCGAGGAGTTTCTGAAGTAAAACCACTTGTACGATGCCTCAGTCTTGTTGCTTTGTAAAATAAACACTGCCGTCGGCGCCGCCGAAGAAGTTCTCATGACCACCTGCCGAAGTTCTCACGAGTTCTCAAATAGGCTCCCCCTAGCGCTTTGGTGGGAAACTGCTGTTCGTCCCTAGAAATTCCAGACCGATGTTGCAGACGCTTACCAGCAAAACGCGGTTGCAGAAGTATAATCTGCCCATTAGTAGGTATATACGGCCCGGTTTGCCATTTCACTCGACACCGACAAATGTCACGTTTTTTGATAATTCCTCTGCTCACCTATGTTTAATCATGATTGTGACTAGTTGAAATACTTGCTCAATTTCTAGTAAACCACTGCTCATAAAACAAAAAATAAACAAAACCCCCCAAAACATCTCTCATGGCATTGCATATTCATCCATGTCCTCTATGTTGGGTTGGTAGCCACCATCTGAGCAAAAATTGGTTGTAAAGACATTGAAAAGACATTTACACCCAAACAATGTCTACATTTGGTTGAAAAGTGAAAGGTGAAAAGCCATAATTGTTAGATTCTTGAAAAACTTATTGCACTAAAGTGCACTAAACGGCTTGATTTTGAACAACTATATGTTGGTTATATCAAGAGTGTGATGGACCGACCAGATGTAGCCTAAAAAAAAAAAACAATGTCTGGTGTTTGGAGGGCAGGAAGTTAGTTATACAAGTGCCTTCAAGTTTACATCAATAAGGATTAAAGAGAAAGATTATAGAGGAAATTGTTAGATATGAAAAAAAAGGTTCATATGACCAAAAACAAAAAAAAGTATTAGCTAGCACTAGCATGAAAAGACTTTATAGCATTTGGCCTCAGACGAGAAGAAACGCTGTTTTATTTTTTATTCTTAAACTGAAGTGCACTTTAAAGGTCCTACCCAGTTTGTTTTATCATGAATTGGTCGACCACACTCAAAACCAGGTGCATACGGTTTATTTAGATCTTAAATAAAAAAAAACAAAAAAAAAAACAAGAAACTAAAAGTGACTGGATGAAAAGTCAGGATGCCGCCAATTCTGTGACAGGCCAACCTATAGGAGTCAAGTCAAAGTGATGACTTTATCTTTATTTTAAAAGTCTTAAGCCCCCTGAAAATGAGAAAGTCATTGTTGTTCGATGCTGTGGCGTACGTATTGTTTACATTCAGACTAGGGAGTACCAATATGGAGGCTGGTGACTTCACAGCACCGTGTACTACGGTATTATCGTCAATGTTGCTATCAGCAATCCAGTGAATAAATAGAGATCAGTGGTTGGCGCTAGCAAAGGTTAGCTCAGCATGTGCTGTGAAGCTAAACGTCTGTGCTAAGAGCCAGTCCAGTTTTTAGGAATCTGAACAACATTCGTTTCTAGCTCAAAATCGAAAATGTCTACAGTGATGATACGTGAAGACACAAAAAGGAGCATTTTTTTTTAAATCAAATGTTTCAATTAGAATCTCAAAACAGCTTATTTTAGAAACAGCTTGTAATTTTATTTATTTTTTTCAGATATCGTCTAATGCGTCAAGTTATATTGTATCCGTATAGTTGATAAAATATCATTCAAAACTCCAGACACTGTATAATCTCTAAAGTTTATCAACACAATTTCCCATCATTTAGGTTTGGACACAACAGAAATGTAAGAAGAGGGACTCTTCTTTATTAAGATGCTAGATTAGTGAATAAACTTTACTTAAATTCAAAAGAAAACCAAAAAAAAATACCATTATCTGTATATCTGGTGCAATGTAGAATTAATTTGAAGATCTTGCCTCAAATATTTTGCAGATTTTCCATAGCAGATAAACTAAAATGTTGAATTACATGACTGAGATCCCTCTTTACACTCTTTATAAACACTGACAATATATTCTTAATGTCATGAAAGGAATGATAACCGAAAAACATCAAAGCATTGTAACAAATTTAACCCAGAGTCAATTTGTTTTCCATGAGGAGTGTGGGCTCTAATATAAGGTTTCTAAGCAGAAAGTGACCTTGGCCAGTTTTCTGCATCCAAATCAGACTTTTAATTCTAAAGCCATGGATGAAGAAACCCTTAGAAAAATAAAAACTGAGTCTAAACACTTTCTTGTCACACTGTATAAAGACCTCACAATAAAACCGCCTTTTAACTACCTTTTTGATTAGTCCACTTGGCGTGTTGCTGCTGAATCAATTTGCAGAAGCCAACTTGAGTTTAATCAGTTTCTTCCACTAAATAAAAAGAGGGTTCAAAAGGCCACAGTATTTGGAAGAGAAAATTGGAAACAGAGAGGCAGGGCATGATTGAACATTAAAGGTCATCACAGAGCGCATCGGATTTCTTATCAAACCTTTCTTCTTCCTGCCTGCTTTGGGGAAAGCCAATATCTGCTGAGTGATGTTTTTAAATGACCCAGCTCCTGGCTAACTCCCTCCCCTAACTTGGCGTGAGCATCAGAGGTAGTGTGCAAAGAATTAACAACCGGGGGAGTCATCACACAACACTAACTGCTCTGCAGAGCTTCCACAGCCACGACAAAATAAAGAAAAAGAAACCCTAAATGAAAGCAGACTCACCGAGATCAGACACAGGTGTTCGTAGACGAAGTGATTAAATACAAAATTATAAAAAGCATAAAACGGGTCTCACCGTTCCGCCTCCAAGCGCATCTCCTCCCGCTTTTGCCTCCTCAGCTCCCGGCGCCGCTCAAAGTCCAAATCCTCCATGATGGTGCCCTGAAGAGACATCAAACACAGATAGGTTCATTTTTCTGGGGAGGAAGGGAAAGCAATCATGTATAATAGTGATCTATTGCCACCCTTAGTAAATATATGTAAAAAAGCTCTAATACAGTCTTGGGTGTTCTGCATCAACACAGCTGATTCCAATGGATGCATAAGTTCCTCAGTAGGCCAGATGCTGCAGGAGCCTGATAATTACTCATTTATTATTTAAGAAATGCTGGAGAGACTCTCTTTAGAAGTGATATTGGACACCACTTCCTTATCATGAAAACTGATGATCATGATCTCATATGGAGGATTTATTACAAAAACAAAAAAAAAACAACCTTTTACTTTTTAGGTTTCTTTTACCACATGTTTTGGATCTTTATCCTGTAAAAAGGCCAAATGACAATGAGTCCAACAGATGCTTGATTATAATGTCTTTGCATATCAAAATAGTTTGAGGCTAGGCACTCAGATGAGGCTCCCAAACAAAAGGACGGCCCACAGCATCACAGATCTCCGGTTTCTTATTACAATAGAAATCATGTACTTTGAGTACAAATCATTATTTCATGCCAAATCCCATTAGAGTGTTTGACAGTAGTTAAATCCTAAATAGGTGAGCAAAACTTAACTTTTGAGCTTGTGATGGTAGGAAAGAGGTCTTTTTACCATTCAAAGAACCAGTTACAATGAAAATTATTTTGTTTTGCTGCAGTGCGATATTAAAATTAGGAAATTTTGACCTCCTTATGGTGCATGTGTGGGAAGATAACACTTCATGTTCATTTATCCCTTTTTATTGTTCCAGTTATCTTCAATGTTGCTTTTTTTTTGTCTTCAATTTTAAGAGTAGCTAAGTGAAAAAACAGCCATATGATTCTTAAAATAAATGCAAACTACAAACATCCCACATTTAAAGAATTATGGAAAAAAACACCACTACTTACATCCTAAATCAATAATTTCTATAAATGCCCCCACCCCCCTGAATACCTGTTATTAAACTATAGGCTGATTTTTTTTTTCCCCCTGCAAAATTTAAGGGAGATTAAGCTTCTGCAATAAAAGATGAAAGCGTTTTAAGCCTTTTTACACATAATAACCAGTGTTGCTTCCCCTTCACACAGACATCAGTCAAACGGCAGCTCATATAGAGCCTGCTTCTGATGTTTAAAAACTACGCTGGACTTAAACAGCATGACGCGCAACTTTAATTGCCACCTTTCTCGATGGGGTTATAATTTTGCACACACAGCTCCGATTAGTCATCAACAAGCTGAGGATTTAAAGCTTAAAAAAAACTGTTGGAAAGCCTCCAAACTAGCTTTAAAAAAAATAAAAAAAGAGAGGTAGGCTGAAGCTAAGGCAGGATGTTAATATCATCAGCTTGGAGTAAATCTAAGGAGAAAAAAACAACTTGGTACACGACTGGCTGTGAGGCCGGAGACCACCCAGGAGCTGCTGAGGCTTCCTTCATAAATCTATGATTCGTGCAAAAAAGAAGAAAAAAAAGACTCTACTGCACACCGATTGAAACGAAGCATGTAATGTAAGCTGTGGATTCACGCATATTCCAATAAAGTAAAGCTATAAAGTGCAAACACAGCTAAGAAGAAGATTTTTTTAAAACATTTCAATGATAAAAAGAACAGCGCCATACCTTTAATTAGCCTCCAAAGTATTTTTTTTCCTCCGTTAAACCATATCGGTTACTCTTAATTGGTTTGTCCGAGCAAAGCCTCAGAGTAACAACAGCAGTGGTCTCCCAAAGCTGGCCTCATTCGACAGAAAATGCTTGCATCTCTCTCCCTTCCCTGCTAGTTGTCCCTCCCTCCTCCTTTCCCCCTTTCTGCCTTTCTGTCCCCCATCTCTGCTTCAAAACTTTTCCTGTGTTGTTTAGAGACGTGTCAGAGCTTGGCTAAACTTTGTTTTCCCTCGTAGCTTCCTGTATGCAATAAGTTATGCATCCCCCCCTCCCCTCCAATAGACATTGCCACCCAGGTATATATTATGCAAACAAGAATGTGGGAGAGGCATTTGTGCTTGCACATACATGCATATTAATGAGTAGAAACAGACGTGTTTGTAAAAACACCTGCAAACTCTCACCCTGCTCACTGCATCTTCAACCTCTCTCATATGAGCCCTTACAGTAAACAAAACACAGGCCTCTGTGTGCAATTATACTCCAAAAGTGATCAGGTTCTTAAGAGACACTCGAAGGAAGAAATCTATGTTAAGCTTTACATTTATTGTCATTTGTGCAAACGAGGGCGTTGGGAAACGGCCATTCACACAACTGCAATTAAGACAATAACCAAAACCTGGTGAGACCTCCAAACATTGTTCTTATCACACGCTTTCCCACAAGCAGCAGCAATGAGGGGGTGTAACTTATTAGCAATGCAAGCACGCAAAGCATCCATAGCCTATTGTTACACATAATGCTTGATTTATACAGCTAAAAGGCATGCATTTTTGTTCAATGCACACAATTTCACAAAATGACTTAATGGCATGTCATCTGTCAACCCTTGGATGGAAATTAAAGATCACAGTTTGGATTACAGTTTGCGTTTCTAATGAGCAATAAACACGAGGAAAGCAATAAAGCTTTTTAAAATGCATTCTGTTTTTATTGTTAGGCTATATCCATGTCTTATGCTCAGTTATTAAAGCCAGTGATTGTGGGTTTGCGGTTATTTTCTTCCTCATCTAAAAGTGCTCCTGCTTTAGCACTTCAGTGTTTAGCCGTCTCTCTTTTCTAAACAATTGATAAAAACATGGTTGCTATTAACTTTGTGCAATCATTCCTGTTTTATCTTCACAAGAGGGTACACAAGGCCAAGTGCTTCTGTGACTCTTATCGTTTTCATTAACTTTGTTGTTTTTGTCCAAAGAAAGTAAAGCAACTTTGTGCTTTAATATTTAGCGGTGTCTTTGCTGGACAAGTCAAAGACATAGCTCCCATCAACTTCTCATATATAAGTTTTGTTTTCTTTTTGTTTAGAAGGTACACCTGGTCCATTCTACATAAATTCCACTCTCTTCCTTTTATTTCCAAAGAAGATACTTCTGCTCATTTGATACAGTTTTTAACTGAGTCTCTATCCAAGAAGATGAATCTTTTAGTGCCATCAGCTGTGTGTGATGTTTGATATTCTACACAATAGAAGGTAATCTTTTTGTATTTAGGTGTGTCCCGTTCATCTAAAAAAATAATTAATAAAGCCTATGATGGCAAATTGTATCATCTTTGTATTTATTTTTACAATACCCATCCCTAAACTTGATGCATCAGTGTTTAGCTGTGTCTCTTTTCTAAACAACAGTTGATATAAACATGGTTTTTATTAACTTTATGCAATCATTCCTGTTTTATCTTCACAAGAGGGTACACAAGGCCAAGTGTTTCTGTGAATCTTATCATTTTCATTAACTTTGTTGCTTTTGTCCAAAGAAAGTAAAGCAACTTTGTGCTTTAATGTTTAGCGGTGTCTTTGCTGGACAAATCAAAGACATTGCTCTCATAAACTTCTTATATATAGTTTTTTTTTTTTTTGTATGGAAGGTACACCTAATCCTTTCTACATAAATTCCACTCTCTTCCTTTTATTTCCAAAAAAGATACTTCTGCTCATTTGAAACAGTTTTTAACTGAGTCTCTATCCAGGAAGATGAATCTTTTAGTACCATCAGCTGTTGTGACGTTTCATTTTCTACATAATAGAAGCTAATGCTATTGTGTTTAGCTGTGTCCCTTTCATCTTACAAAAATGATTAATAAAACCTTTGATGGCAAATTGTGTCTTTTTTTAAATGATATCCATCCCTAACTTAATGCTTCAATGTTTAGCTGTGTCTCTTTAACAGAGGAATTAATGATAAACTGCTTTCTTGCATTCACCTTTCCAAAGCCGTTGATGGAAAGAATGTTGCCAGTCATCATTTGAGCTCTTTCTCTATAGACATGACTCTTCTCTGCCCTCTTAAACCCGCAATTAGTACAAAAACTGGCTGCTAGTACAGAGCCTGCTTCAGCTAGAGGTTTTATACCGATAACAGGGAGATGTTTTCTCCACTTTCACCAGAGGTGGTTAATCCAGGCGCAGAGAATTAAAAGCTTGTAAATGCATTGGTTTCCACCTTGCATTTCCAGCTCCACAACACAGGCTGGAGGCTAATCCTCTGGTTAAGTAAAGAGCACCAAATTTCACCATGCTTTTACAAGACTGCACAAAAATCTCAGCTTGATGTGATCAATTGGGTTTTATTTCATTAGCAACAAAACTTGACTGCCTCTCATGTTTAAAACTGAATTTCACTCCGTGATATGATTAAATCTGACCATGCAATTAGATTTTTACTAATATGCAGCTTTCTAAACCTTCTTGTCTTTTAAAGTCTTATATTGTTAAATCTGCACTTAAACAGTGTTATAAAATAATAGAGTTAAAATGTAATTAAAATGCAAAGCAAATGACTATTCCTTTCTCCAAGCTTAATCACCTGAGCCCTCAGAGAAAGGGCCTTTAGTGCAACCTAGAGGTGTAACTGTGGTGTGCACAGAAGGGACCACCCACACATTGCAAAAGCTAACAAAGCCAGGAGAGAGGAGAAATGTTCCATAAAGTTCAGCAAGCCAGGGTAAACATTTTGTCACATTTTTAACCTGCCTGAGCCTGTCAGCTGCAAAACATCTCCCTTCACTGTGTCCATTTATTCCTGTTTATCTCCATCTATCCACTCCCACCACTCTTTCTTAGCCTTTCCTCATCTGGGCCAATGCCTTCCATACTGGGAATAATGACACATTCACCAGTCAAATTACTACCTGTCGAGACTGCCAGACCCTGGCACACAGCTCTCTGTCTAAGTGCCAGTCTCTTGAAAGCCCTTTAAACCCAGGCTGATATGATCCTCACAGCCGCTGGGATTACGTACCGTATAATAACTCCACCCACTGACAAAACCCCTGGAGTTGAAACAATAGAACCCCGTTG